TGTAGGTGCAGGGATGGAGCATTCCCAAGTCATTGGCTTGGGACAGGACAGCACTGGTGCCAAGCTTGGAGGCATCTGTGTGGAGTATGAATGGTTTCTGGAGGTCCAGTAGGTGAAGAACTGGTTTGGATGAGAGGGCTTTCTTCAGATCTTTGAAGGTGGAGCTCTGTTTGGGTCCCCAAGTCCACTTGGAATTTTTCTTCAAGAGGTCATGAAGCAGATGGGCAGTCTGTGAGAAGCTGGAGATGAACTGCCAGTAGAAGTTGCAGAAGCCTAAGAAGGAGTGAAGCTCCTTGAGAGTCATTGGTGCAGGCCATGTCTTGATGGCTTCAATCTTAATTTCCAACAGTTCATACCAGCCCTGATGGATCATGAACCCCAAGAACTCTATTTCTTTGGCTTCAAAGGTACACTTTTTTAGCTTCAGGCATAGATGTTCCTTTGCAGTGATGCATAGGAACTGGCAAATGGCCACTTGGAGGCCTTCTCAAGTCTTCAAGTGAATGGTGACATCATCCATGAAAATTACAGCCTTCCTCTCATTTTTGAGTTCTCCAAACATATGATCCATGTACCTCTGAAAGGTGGGCAGTGAGTTGCACTGCCCAAAAAACATTATGGTTGGTTTGAAGAGACCTCAAGGAGTAATGAAGGCCTGTTTCCACTCATCACCCTCCTTTACCCATATATTCATGAAACTCCATCAGACATTGAACTTAGTGAAATATTTGGAATCTGCTAGTTTGTCAAGAGTGACTTTATGTCAGGAAGGGGGTACAAGTCGATGATAGTGTGAGAGTTTAGGTATCAGTAATCTTGGATGAGTCTCCTTTTGCCATCTTTCTTTCCAACAAAGAACACAGGGGCAGCTTGCAAAGACTTTGAGGGGCAAATCTTTCCACATTTGAGGTTTTCATCAATGAACTCATCAAGGGCTTTGAGTTTGTCGAGTGAGAGTGGGTAAATGGCTCCTTTCTTTGGCTGAAAGCTTGGCTTCAAGCATATTTCATGGTCAAGAAAGCCGCAGTGGGGTGGAAGAGGGATTTCTTCTTTGGAGAAGACTACTGAGAACTCCCAATATTCTGGTGGTAACTCCACTTCAGCCTGTATGTGTGAAGCCTTGAGTTTTGTGGAAATAGATGTGCAGTTTATCTTTATGGTCTGGGCAAAGTCCATTCCACACATGCAATTCTTCTTGTCGAGGCCTTTGTCAAGTTCCCCCCAGCTGATCAGTTTTCAAGAGGTCCAGTTGATTATGGGTTATGTTCTTTCTGAAGGAAGTGATATGGGTGACCCAATCTCCAGTCTTGCCCTTGTAGCTCCTGGATTCTCAGGGCCTCGCAATTTTGCATGTTGGGATGTCATATTTTTGGATGACAGCTGGATTGATGATGTTTGTTTCAGCACCTGAGTTGAGGATCATTCAGACAGTAGCATTTTCATGGTTGATGAGGTAAGCAAAACCAGTGATAGAAGTGATTGATATATCTTGTTTGTAATCATACACTTTCTTGGTTCCTATCTTATCCTCTACCTTGCATGATACAATAGGCTCTCTTCCTGATGCTACACCAGGGGAGCCATTTAAAAATCTGGGTGACCCTTCAGTCCCCCATCTTCAGTGGGTTTGTCATTCTCCCCACTATACTTGTCTTTGGGTTCATCCTCTTCTTCTTCATCTGCCTTGTCAAACTCCTCAAGCACAGCCAGGATGTGAGTGTGGAACTTTTGGGCCAAGGAAGACTTACTGTTTGTTGCAGACAAGGGATACTTAGAATTCATGTGTCCTGTCTTACTGCATCCATAACAGGTAGGAGCTTTGCTCTGTGATCAGACCTTTGATTTTCAATCAACATCCATGGCATAAGGGTCTCAATATGGAGTCTTCAGAGAGGATTTTGATCCATGAGAAGATGATTGTTCTTGTTTCCACAAGTAGGAACAGTCTTGGAAGGTGGCTTTCCCAGTAAAGACCTTGAGAGTAGCCATCGCCACATGTGCTGCTGTAGCCCTTTGGATCCACTCCTTGACAGAGTCTGGTTTGGGGCTGGCCATAAGGATCCACCAGTTGATTTCCTTGTTCAGGCCTTTCCTGAAGAATACTGTTCTGATGTGTGTTACTACCACATCCACTGACAGAAATGGGATCTGTTCCCATGAGTTAGTACTGATTCACAAGTTGATGAGTGTTACCACTCTGGGTCTGGATCCTTGCACCAGTTTTGTGGATGGGTATACTACCCTCCACTGGGTATTGGCTCTTGTGTTGCTGAGTTGATCTATTGGGGGTTCTTGTAGTGTGAGTGTGTCTCAATCTTCTGTGATTTTGCTATTTATGAGCAAGTGAAGCATGATGTGGGAGGTGTTTAAGTTTTGTTGCCAGATACATAGTTTGGGTAGTGTGTTGTTGCAGGGAGGGTTTTCAGGCATCATTTGGGGATGGATGGATCTGCTGGTGGGGTTTTGCTGTGGTTATTGTTTGGGGAGGGGTGGGGAGTGTGTTATGTGTGGAATATGGTCATGGTGGGGGACCTCCTCTTCCTTCCTGGATTCTACCAGGTTGTCCACACCTTGGTAAAATGGTTCAGAAGTTTGCTGCTTCTCCTAGTGTCATTTGTCTTAGTTGGGTTCAGGTTGCTGGTTGGGTCACTTGTAGTATGGTCAGTACAATGGGGTCCATCAGGTGTGGGGGTAGTTTGACTTGGGTCCATTCCTCTACTGTGGGGAAGTAGGGCATCTTATATTCAGGAGTGTGGTCATCCATGGTGTTGTGTCTTCTGATGAATTCAGGACAGTTTCTGTCTGTACTGGCATGTGTGTCATCCTTGCAGTCTACACAGTGGTGGGTGGTGGAGTTATGTTCTGATGTTCAGTGGGGTTGGGTGCACATTCCACATGTGTCCATTGCTTGGGCTCAGTCTCTTGCAAGGTGTCCTATGATTTGACATTTCAGGCATTGTACTGGTTCCTTTTTGTCTTTGTGTGGCTGAAGTCTGTCTAGGCCCCAGTATAGGCCATGTCTCAGGAGTTGGTTGGCTGTTTCCAGGGAGGTGAGGGATGCCAGGGCATGGGCTACTTGTTGGTTGGGGGTGCATTTGGTGGGGTCTTTAATCCATTTGATCTGGGTAAACAAGCTGGGTGGGATATTGTTCTCCTTTTCCATGTCATGGAGAGTGTCTGGGTTTTCTATGTCAGTGGAGATGGGTAGGAATGGGATTACCAGGTTATACAGTGAGGGACAAAAGCATTGCAATGTTTGTGAGGTGTGAGTTGCTGCTGATGTAGCTCAGGTTATTCTGAACAGATAATCATGATACCTGTACTATTGGAAAGAGGTGACTCTAAGCTTTCCAGAGCACTAAGGTTCAGTCCAAACAAAGAAATACATGCCAAGATACACCCTATTCTTTCTGAAAAGTGCATTGCAACACTTTTGTCCTTGACTGGTGAAATAGTGAAAAGTGACCTCTTGATGGGATTGAGGGCATGAAGGATGGGAAAATATGATTACATAATAAACCATATGATCTTCCTGATGATTTGTCAGCATGTAAACAATGACAAACATTGGATTTGTACCATTAAGCCTCCCTCTTTTAGCACAACTCATGAAATCATCTCTCTAGCTCACATGGACATTTTCTCAAGGAATTCTTATCAAATACTTGTGGCAACCACAGTGCCAACAGTATAACATGCTCTCAGAACCATCAGTCCCTTAAAAAACCTGCTGTCAGTCATTCCCTGGACTGTTTCCCCCCCATGCCTGGTGTGTTCTGGGACTAATCAGCACTTGGAATGCTGAAAATGTTATGGAGGTCAACCTGGCACTTCAGAACTGATGGACAAACCAGTCCCCTCTCAACCAATGCATTTCTGGCACAGGAATCCTGGTATGGAAGTTGGGGTGAGACAAAACCTCCCTGTGCTCTGAGCACCATAAGATGGTTCACTAGATCTTGCTCTGATCTGAACTGTAGATGACTGGGGAAGGATTATTTGGTCATATGTGACCAAAGGCAATATTCAGGGCCAGATGGAAGCACAGGATTCTGTTCCATGGCAGTTCAGTAGCATATCCATCTGATGACACCTGGGGGTAAAGAGGATTTTGTCTTGCCCTAACTTCCATACCAGGATTCCTGTGCCAGAAATGCATTGGTTGAGAGGGGACTGGTTTGTCCATCAGTTCTGAAGTGCCAGGTTGACCTCCATAACATTTTCAGCATTCCAAGTGCTGATTAGTCCCAGAACACACCAGGCATGGGGGGGAAACAGTCCAGGGAATGACTGACAGCAGGTTTTTTAAGGGACTGATGGTTCTGAGAGCATGTTATACTGTTGGCACTGTGGTTGCCACAAGTATTTGATAAGAATTCCTTGAGAAAATGTCCATGTGAGCTAGAGAGATGATTTCATGAGTTGTGCTAAAAGAGGGAGGCTTAATGGTACAAATCCAATGTTTGTCATTGTTTACATGCTGACAAATCATCAGGAAGATCATATGGTTTATTATGTAATCATATTTTCCCATCCTTCATGCCCTCAATCCCATCAAGAGGTCACTTTTCACTATTTCACCAGTCAAGGACAAAAGTGTTGCAATGCACTTTTCAGAAAGAATAGGGTGTATCTTGGCATGTATTTCTTTGTTTGGACTGAACCTTAGTGCTCTGGAAAGCTTAGAGTCACCTCTTTCCAATAGTACAGGTATCATGATTATCTGTTCAGAATAAGCCTGAGCTACATCAGCAGCAACTCACATCTCACAAACATTGCAAAGCTTTTGTCCCTCACTGTATTGTCTGTTGTTGATCCTGACTGTGCTGCCCAGATTTGCTAGGAAGGTCTCTTTGATTTTGGCTTCTTTTATCCATTTCACAGCTTTTTGGCTGTTGAGCTTGAGTAGGATTCTGTTGTTGCATAGGCAGGTGATTGATTTCAGGTGAATTTCCAGGCCATCTACACAGTCTATTGTATCCAACACTTGCTTGATTGAATCAATGATGTTTTTCCCTCATGGCAGTGCTGTTGAGTACAGGGTGATTGCTGTCAGGGTCTATCAGTAATTGCCTTTCTTTAATGGTGGAGTGGGCCTTAGTGTGTTCTGTTGTGAGGCATTTGCTGAGTGGGATATGATTTGGGTTAACTGCTGCCATTAGGAGGGCATCCCTGTATGGTGCATGGTGGGGAGCAATGGGTGTTTGGGTCTTGATGTGTTCTTTAATTTCTTCTATCATCATTCTCAGCATGTCCATGTTGATGGCTAGATCTTGTACTTGATCTTCTAGGTGCCTGAGGTTTGTGTTGTCAGCAGCATTGTTGACTGTGTCAAGCTTCTTAGCAAGGTTTTCACCCATCATTTCAAGGTTCTTGCCAGTCTTCTCCAGGTTATCAGCTGCTGACCATATCTTTGCTACTTGTGGAGTGATTGTGACTATGACTGAGGATTCTATCTTGCTGGATACCTCCTTGGTGATGGAGTTGGCTATGGCTGAAGTTGCTAGTTCCCTGACTAGGTACATGGTAGCTTGTATGGCTGAGCACAGGGTGTTAGATACTCCTTTGGCTTGAGATATGCAAAAGAGGGTGTGAGAGATGTGTTCCAGCATTGCTGGTTTGCCCTGGATGGTATAGAATTGGTCCAGGTAGTACTTTTCTGTTTCTGCATCCTTGACTTCTGCATCTGGGTCATCAATGATGTCTTCCAGGGCAAGACTGCTGCTTCTTGAATTTCTGCTGGGCTGTGTGGTGCCTGGCATTCAAGGTACTGTTGGGGGTCCTGATGTGGCATGGGAGCTTGACCTTGAGGACATTTGTCCTGTTGAGGTCATGGGTCAGTGGGTGTAGTGGGTACTCACTGGGTGGTGTAATTGAGGTAAAGTGATTGTATGCTTGTGTCTCAAGGCTAGGGTCTAAAAAACACTGCTATATGTCACTGTTGCTTGCAACAGGCTCTGCTTTTCCCACTGGTACTGCTGGGATTTTGGGGTCCTAGTCAGGGTGCCATATGGAGTGGAGTCAAGAAGCATTTCTGCAGTCTTCACTTGTCACTGTCTTGCTGTCTCATTCTTCTTTTTTTTTTTGTGTACTGTAGACCTACACTAGTGCACAAAAATGCTGACTAAGCTACCAAAAATGCGCCACACAGGTAGGCTAAGTATCACTAATGTAAATCAGAGCAAAACCACAGTAGAAAAGATAAAATAATTAAATCTCCTTAGTAGGGAGTACTTATTCCCAACAATGGCATTCCAGTTTTTGATGTATCTCCACCAATTCTGCAGATACTGACACCATTCCCACACTTGCTTGTAGTGCTCAGCCACACAATCCTACCTTCCAAGAGTGGAGAGGATTTGCACACTCCACACATTTCTACAGCACTCCCTCCAAAAGACACTCATTTCACTACTTCTTCTGGTATGGCCACCTCCATGTCAATCATTTTGCTTGTCCCCTTTGCTGGGGACCATGGCTATGTATATCTACCAGGAGTTCCTACCAGCTTCCATCCTGAAGTGTCCTGGTACATCCCATCCTCATCTGCCCCCTCTCATCCCATCCAGCTTGGACAGCACATTCTTTTTGTCAGTATGACCTCTAGGAGGATATTCTTTGGTTGCCTCAGGTCTTTCATTCACTTGGAAAGGTCTTATGTGGTTGTTTCAATCTCTCCAGTCCAAGAAGCATATGGATCCTTCCTTCCTGCTCCCTGCAATGTCTTCATACCAGTCTTGTCCATCATTCTTCCAAAATTGTGACAGCTACAGTATAATCTACTGTTCTCCACTCTCCCTGATTGCATCCATGATGAGTATGATGCACATCTTGCCTCCTTATTGCAAGATATAGCAGAAGATGCTCCCCCTTCATCCTCTCTTCCAACTAGAGCCTCATTCATGAAATTTTTATTTGCTTCACTGAGAGGACAGTCAGGGGGGGAAAGTTGTGACCCCCTATGCTCCTGTCACCCCACAGACCCCCAAAGCTTGACCTCTGTTGACATCCTGACTCACCCTGTCCACTTTTGGATGTACTATATTGGCATCAGATCAGTGCTGCCTCTCTGTCATCCCACTTTGGCCCAGAAGCAATCTCTTTGAGATGTGACATGCACAGCCTCCCCCTAATGTGATTCCAGTGTGCTTTCCCAGTTTCTGACATTACTTGACTCATACTGTGACACTCTGACTGTCTTTGACTCACCTATTGCCAATACTTACCAATCTTTTGACTTTGCTTACTGATTCTTCACTTTTTGGCTTTCTTATCCTTACCAATGCTCACCAATGCTTTCTAAGACAATTACCCACTGCTTACATTCCTTACTTATCACTTACCAATCACTTACCAAGTGTTTGCACCTTGTTTTCCATAGGCAATGTCCCTGTACTGTATATAAATCACTGTACTCAGATAGCTGAAAAAGAAGAAGATGTCAGAGAGCCCCTCTTGCTTGCATTTCATCATCTCTCAGTAATTCATTCATCAGCTTTGATAGTTGAGACTTTATTAAGGGTCTAACTATCATCTACTTTGCCTATCATTGTCTATCATCAATTACTTTGCTCCAAGTCCTCCCTGAGCTCAGTGCAGCTTAGGACATCAAATTAAGTCTTCATGCATCCTTCTGTATGCTGACAGCAGTCTACCCCATTGCAATCTCTTGCATTCCTTCTCCTTCTTCATCAGGAGCACCCCCAACCCTCAGCACTCATCTTTGAGTGTTGTAGCTTGCAAACACCCTCCCAAATCAAAGGTTCTACCATCTAGGTACCATGTAGGCACACCACCACTTTCTCTTATTGTTTTTTGTGTTGGTTTTGATTGGTTTCCACCACTGAACCACACTTTGACTCACACCGGGTGCGGATTAGACATGGATGTGTCTGTGTTGCAGACACATGAATCCCTGGCATTATGGTGGTTGTGAAGTTTGTGGAGTAAACACTCACATTGTTGCTGTTTAGTGATGCCATGAATGAACTTGATCTTGTTTGTCCATGCATAAAACTGTTTGATGCACTGATGGTCTAGCTCACCCTGAGTCATGCAAATAGCATTCATTACTGCAATTTCAGTGCCAGCAAAGTGACTTACCACTTGAGTAGAGTAGTTGTCTGTAGTCCCAAAGAGCCAAATTAATGTGACATAGTCTCTGAAGGCACACAGTTCATATGTTGAGAGATTGAAGATTCACTGTCATGGGCCAGTCTGTGCTGTAGCAGGCCTTGATTTTCCATCTCCCTGAGCTCTTGCAGCCAATGCAGCCATATGTCAACTGCATGCAGCCTCCTCAGATGGTAAGTCTTTCATTGCAATTTGATCACATACAGCAGTTTTGAAGCACCAGAAGAGGCATCCAAGCCTTGTCATTGAGCTATTGAGGAAGTGAAGACTTGTTTTGGTATGGAACCATAACTTGGCAAGTGTGTGCCATGTTGCCAGCTCAAAAAGAAGGTCCATTATTGTGTTGTTGTATGGAGGGGGAAGTAGACCCTCAAAGACAGGGATTGAGCACTGCAAGGATCATAGTGTGTCAGTCTCTGTTAAAAACAAAGCAAAATCATACATCCCTGCAGAAGGTCTTCAAAATCATGTGCAGCAAGTTTTTTCATCACTGATGTGTTATTGCTGAACTTGCAGATGGTATCTCAACCAAATGTAGGGACCTGTCAATATCTGTGCATGCTATTCAGATGGCATGAATATAGGCCCAATACCTGTCAAGACCACATTGCCACTGTGATCCAGTATTCCACCACCCTCTCTGATGGATGACTTGTTCATTTCTTGTTCCACTGACTCGTCTATGACTCATTTATATTGCTCACATGTTGTACTATAGTTCCAGTGTCAGGCCTCTCACTGCACATTGATTGCACCAGCCTGTACAGCCTTTGTTGCCTCCCTACCCCCATCACTGACACCATATGACTCTTGTTTATTTCATTGATGGGATTGTTGATTACTGTGGATATGTGTCGTGACTGGTACGGTACTCATACTCAGGAGTATATAGTCTACTGTACTTGGTCCTGTATCTTCAGTTTTTCAATAGCTTGCAACTGAGCTTCATCCCTTCACTTCATCCTTGTTCTCTCTCTGTGCGAACAACCTTAGGGACTCACCAGTAGACAGAACCCTTGTTGGATCCAGCGATAACTCAGCCATAGGGGTTACGACAAGTTTGGCCCATAGACTCCCACCTTGTGCACTTTGTGCCTATTCCATTTGAAGAAGTCACTGTGCTCGGGCATAACAAAATCGAAAAACTCTCTGCAGCTTTTGGGACTCATTGACCTCTTTGCAAAAGTCTACTCGTCCCCAGTTACTGAACTTCAACAAACCAACCCCCACTACCAAAGAAGGCTCGTTGGTCTCCCTCAGTGCAAAGACTAACTCGCCTTCCTCCTGCTCCTCAACTCAAATAACTCGATAACAAAATTGAGAAGCATCCCACAACCCTCAATCAAATCCACCGCTCTACAGGAAGCCTTTAGGCTTTAATAGATCACCTCCCTAGAGCTCACGCTCATGTCTCCCTATGTGTAAAGCCACTTGTGCATCACAAACAACCCCTTCTGCTGACAGGTTTCTTTTGAGAAATAAATCCTCCCTCAGCCCTCAGTTATCACTTCCCATTAAAGTGTCTACTCCAGGAAGATTGAGACCCCCAGTCCCTCCTCGACCAAACCCTCTTGGGCTCAGAAGGAATCCTCCTCTACTGCCCATCCCATTAGGAAGACTAGGACCCTCGGTCACCACCACAAATCCTCATTTATCTTATCTATCCTGTTTTAGGGATTCAGAAGTCACACTTAGTTCAGAAGAAGAAGACAATCAGAAGTCCAACACTTCACTCAGATCAGTCCTCAGGGAAGAGCCAGAAGCACACAAGTTACCAGATATGTCCATGACACTTGGTCATGGAGAATCCACTCCTGAAATGCCTACAAGGACCATTTCTGAAGAGGAGCTGAGACAAAGGTTGGAAGAACAATGGCTCACTATGGCCAAAGAGCTTCACAAGGCAATGCATGCCAGGAACAGTGACCCCTTTCCAACAGGAACACCTATGGACTCAGCATTACATGAATGGTATGCCAGGAACTTTGGAAAGGTAATTCCCCCAGAGGGCCCCATCAGTGGGTCCAGTAAGGGAAAAGCCCTAGCCAACCCTGATGACACATATGATTGCCGCCCACCCAATGGAGGTCAGGAGTTTAATGTCGGGCATCCTGGAGAATATGATGGAAGCCATAATGGGCTACAGACCTGGGTTACGCAGGTCAAAGGGTATTTGAACCTGAACAAGCATGTGTATAACATGGAGTTGCTCAAGATTTCATTCGCCCTCACCTACATGATGAAAGGCACAGCTGTCTCGTTTGCCGAAAATTACCAAAACGAAAACAAGCTTCTTGATGGAACAATCTACTACACCAATACCTTCCAAAGGTTCATGGAGCATCTTAAAGCTACTTTCAAGTCTGGAGATCAAACTGCTCTCGCAATACTCCTGCCTTTCCAACATCACACAAGGCAAACAAGAACTCGGGGTGTACATAGCCTGAGTTTATGGGGCTTGTTAACAAGGCTCAGCTCAAAGAGGAATTGCACATGAAACATATCCAAGAAGGGAAGGAATCTCGGTATGAAAGAAAGTTCATTCATTACCTGTGGAGGTTCCCAAGATCCTGATGTGATGGACATTGACAAACATAAATGGAACATAAGACGTTCCAGTTTGGAAATT